GTCCTTTTTCCGTACCCTATTTCTACACCAAGAACTTTCCATTTGGAGATTATATGGTTTAATATTTCACTATTTCCATTGCAGGTCACTTTGCATGGAAACATAAAAATTCCCTATTATTTGCTTCAACAAGCTAAATGTGCTGTGAATCCAAATGTGATGGCTCGCACTTTGCTTACTTCACTCATTCCTGAAGAAATTCTAGTAAAATCCAATGTGAAAGGAGGAGCACCAAAAAGAGGAATACTGCCACAACGAGCTGTAAATGTACTGTGAATCCAAATGTGATGGCTCGCACTTTGCTTACTTCACTCGTTCCTGAAGAAATTCTAGTAAAATCCAATGTGAAAGGAGGAGCACCAAAAAGAGGAATACTGCCACAACGAGCTGGGCTAGACCCAGAAATACTAGAAGTCATCAAAAGTGAGTGTGCTTGCTGTTTCTTGCTATTCCTTGGCTGCTTCATTTTTCAATGAATGAGCAGCTAAACAGACATTCAAATTGTTGTCAAATGGAGGCTTTTATTAATCCATGAAATCCATGCTCCATTGCAGCAACTGTGCTTTCAAAATTCCCAGATGCCAAGGTGTCTGATATAGTGTCCGCTCTAAATCAAAAGATGGCAGAGCTATTTGTCAAATGGAGGCTTTTATTAATCCATGAAATCCATGCTCCATTGCAGCAACTGTGCTTTCAAAATTCCCAGATGCCAAGGTGTCTGATATAGTGTCAGCTCTAAATCAAAAGATGGCAGAGCTACGGGGAAAGAGGAAGAGGTCAGGTGGCATTCCAGATGAAGCTCATGATCAGTAAGCCAGTTCTGAATTGGCATAAACCCGAAGAAGAAACTGCTGTGATTTTCCTTGATTGCTAGTACAAATTGAGATCTGAATGAGAAAACTTCATATAACTTGGAATTAAAATGAACATTTTGTCCACTTATTCCAACATGTTTCTTTTTCAGTTTGTTAGTGAATGGTTTTTGTATTTTCACAGAAGTAACAATGAAGTGCCTATTCTCAGCTTAGTTCCTGAAGTCATTTTTGACGTCTGGGAGAGACTTGCAAGAGTGTCATGATTTCATGCATGTTCCTTACCTGATTTGATCATATATCTTATCAGGTGTGACATATATGCCTCACCATATACTAGACAAACATATTAAGTCATACATGTTTCTTATCAGCTTCTCCATATCTTTTACATACATGCTTTTTATAAAATTCTTATATGGCCTTGCCATATATGATCATATACTCATTGTTTCAATAACAAGATATGATCAGATATATTTTACCATATATGTTCATATATTAACTTATATGATAGACCATATATGTCCCATATATCATATATGCCCATTTCTTATATAATCATATATAATTTTTCCGTATGGGGCAGGCTACAAAAATAATAGTAACAGGATCAAGGAGGGTCTTGGGGCCCAGAGAATGGAAACTCATAGTTTGCAGGTTGGGGGCTATACAAGTTAGGTTAGTCCAAACAGCTTTTTAGTTAGTAAACTAGTAAACTTTAACCCTATGCATAAGTTTAATAGGTTACCCCTTACTTTAAGAAGTTGGCCCAGCCTGAATGCTAACATGGCCCTGAGGCCTGCTTGCAGCAACAGTATGGCACGAGCAAGACAGATTCATAGAACCTGGTCATGAAAACTCCAACAAAAAGTACAGAAGAGTCTCACTGAAGCTATTCATGAGTGTGAAATCTGCCAACCCAGTGTTGAGGTTCTGAACCAGTCTCACAGTGACCACAGAATTGTGGAAGACATTCCCAATATTCTCTGATTCAGAATTTAGTACCAGTCATTTCAGAGCCTTGGAGACACTATCTGCTGCTTTCTTTGAAGTTGCTTCTGAGATAAAACACCAAGCTCTCTCAAGGCAGATGGGATGAATGAATTTTTTGTTTACATGCTATTCAATAAAAACGTCCTCATCAATAGATATTCTTCTGTGTAATTGAAGATAATATGATCTCTGGTTAGACTGTGGATAGTAGGGGTTACACAGCATATGCTCTGTTGTTGTGCAGCAGGGCAGGCCAGCTTCCAGCACAGCTGAGCTACAGCAGTGCTTCTCTTCTATTTTCTCTGCTGCTACTCAGGAGAAAATCAGTGGAGTCTCCATTGGCAATGTCACACTTCTTCCAGCTTTCTCACAGTTGCAAACTCAGCTTTCCCAGCTGCATCCCAGCAGAGTGTGCAATGGCCTCACCACATGCCATTAGTTGAAGGAGAGCACACGGCAGGAAGTCTGCTCCATACCCTGATTTGTTATGAGCAGCAGTTTGGAATGTGTTGTCACAATTGGAGATTATGACTACCACATAAGAAAAGCACATTGCACTTCTATCATAAAAATGTATGTCATTTGTGGACCACAAGTACCATCTAGTGTGACCATAACTCCATCATGAACCAGCATATGACAGTAAGTACATTTTCTTCCACAAGGTCAAATTAGTCTACACACCAAATTTCACAACATTACATCCATCGTTTTCCTGGAGGCAGTAGTCTGAACAGCAGAAGTGAATTTAAAACCCCTGCATATCTACAGGTTTCATATGAAAAAAAGTATTGAAATAAATACCTCCTTAACTCATCAATTCAAACACAAATGACTCAGAAACAAAAATTCCATAACAATCAACCCACCCTAATACATCAACCAAAATGGCTCCTCCTTCAAAGCTAACAGTTATTCCTTTCCACATACCATGGTTACCACCCCTTCATATCCAATGTTCTTCAATGGTCAGGCCACCCTCTCATCCACCCTTTTATTTTCCCAAGGAGTCAAATTCATCCCAGAACCATGTTAAACACATAGGAGTCTCACGTCTCCGGCATCAATATGAAAGAGCCCCCAATGCTGCAAAGGAAACAGAAATCCTTCTAGATTTCCTTCTAGAGGAAACAGAAATCTCATGAGAGCAAAGAAGGATCTTCTGTTTTGATGTGAAAATAACCCAAGGAGCTCCTGAATCCATCTTGAATAAATATTTCTTTAAGTTAAACACAGGTGGCTCATAAACATACATTCCCTAACCAAAAACTCCCTCACCTACCACATAGGACAATTATAACTCATCCCCCCCTCCTCATCCCATTCAAATCAGATGTCCTGAAATGCCCAATCTAACTGTTCTGATTCTGTTAACAAAAAAGTAGAAAACTACCAATTCATCTTAGAACCATGTTAAATTCTTGTTCTCGTAGGAAATGTGGAATTTCTATCATCCAAGTTCCCACTCACTCCCACAACTTAAATCGCAACTCCACAACAGGATATTGACTCATTCTTTGTGTCCTAATTTTATATTACATTAATAACACGATTGAAATTAATACTATAGACTCTTCTTTTTTCAACATATACCTCGTATATGCTTCTTGGACGACTCCTAAGGGTTTCACCTCCTTTCTATAATGTCAGGTTGTGCAATTTCAGTAACCTTTGATGATCTGTAATATACTTCTTTTAGATTGGGTAAAGAAAGTTAAGATGATGCAGATTATTTTATTTGCACTAATGGAAAAAAGAAATCCCATCATGAAGGAGGCTATACTTATGTAAGCTATATAGGCAATCAGGCCCACAGTACTGTAATTTTTTTCCATTGTACCAAATAGAATTGGCAGGCATGTAGTTCATTGTTCATGGACTTAGAATGGTGTTAACAATTTGTGAGGCTTGAATGATATGAGTCACTGCATACATGGAGAGTAAAGTTTCTTCAAAAATGTTAAATTGTACATCCAGTAATGTTAGGAAGGAGGAAGATCTAAACATCTTTGAGTTTGTATAGCACATCTTAATGCTTTGGAAATGATTGAATAGGCTTAATTTCAAACTCCTGGTTTCTTAAGAGAAATCATCAGTATCCTTTCAAATGTAGTCCAACTCAATTTTTTTTAAAGTTAAATTAGGATTCCTCTATAAGCAAAAATTGGAATATATGTGCTGTTTTACCTCATACCTATGTTTGAGGTGTTTAGGGAACTACTTCTTATTGCATCCTCTGATCTTGCACCCTTTATACCTGAGAATAATGAGATGGTCTTGGGAGAGGAAAAGAAAATCATAATAGAAAAGGGCCTTATGAGATGTCTGACTTTGCCCAAGAGACAAAAGTGTTGATGCTGTAACTCACAGATATCCTCCTGATGCATGTTAGATGGTGTAGCAATTCTTGAAGATGAATATTGTGAAGTGAGGTGTTTCCAGGTTTATGTTGCTCTTAATATTCTTCTTTACCTGCTGTTTAGATGCAACTGATGGGGGCATTATTTTCATCCAGTGGAATAAACTGGCATTCAATGTGACAATTTCTTTCCATGTAGAAATTGTACATATCAAGAAAAACGTTACAATTCAAACTCCTTCATTTAATACAGGAAGATACTCTCTAGTATAAGTGTTCAAGTTCTGTTCAAGGTATGTGAGAGTTTTTTTGCTGAATGCTATCATTTGAATTGCTGCTCCCATAAGTCCTAGAAATGTGCGAAATTAAATTTTTATCATAGAATCCTTAAATCCAAGGTTTCCCAATTATTGCACCAATAATATATTTGGGTTGCAATAAATTTGGCAAACTTTGAAATTAAAAAAATAAAATTTTTGATCACATGAATAAAAATTGCTTATTCATATTTCTCTTTTTTATATGAATAAGTTTTATACAACTGTGAGTTTACTATGTGAAAGAGTTTGAAGTTTGGTAAATAAAAAAAAAGTATAAAAAAACCAAGGGGTTTGTTTTACATCTCTAGAATATATTTGATGGTGGTTTTGTAATTTCAGGGTGGCTATTGTCAAGATTAATAAAATTATTTTTGAGATACTTCAGTGTACTGAACTCATTACTTCTAATTATCTGGAACCTTTTAAATTTATTGGCATCAAATTCAATCATGAAACACAGGCATATATTGCTAAAGTCTTTAATCTATCCTATCATTTGATAAGTAACCTTACCGTAGCATGATTATTCCAAATCTTCGATCTCTCCAAAATCTAAAAGTAAAAAAAAAGCATATCCTGAAAACTAAGAAAACCAGAAGAAATGCCTAGTCAAAGGTACAAACAAGATCAATAGAGTGCTGCCTACTCTTCAAATTCTATAATATGCGATTTTCAGCATTCAAATAAATTTCAAGACTACAAAGATACAGAGAAAGACTAGAAATGATTACAATATTTTCTCTGAATTATGCAAATCAAATCCATCTGATAAACTCCTGGGTCAAGTTTCCTTCACCTTGACTAAAATTTAAAAACTGAAACAGTCCTGAATTGAGGAACTAATGTAGACTTAAACATGTCATTGATATGAAAGCTGGTTATGGATTGTTTTTCTTCTTGCAAGTCACTTAATTTACCTCTTTTTTGAGAATATCTCCAGAAAACCATTCTCATGAACCACTTGAATCATCAATTGCTCCCATGGGCAACAAGTCTGTATCACCCTGAGAAATATGATTAATATATCTTGGAAATAATAATGCTTTGATTTTTAATATCAGGATAGAGGCAATTTTGTTTCAGCAAAAAGGTGAAAAATGCATGCACATGCATGAAATTTTCAAACGGTAAAAGACAAACCCTTGACAATGTCTTTTTAAACTTTCATGATGATTTGTTCACAGGAACAGGTTTTTTTTAGAGCAAAAATCAAATGTAAATTTGTGCCTCACAGAGGCAGCTGCATGCCTGTTCACTCAGAATTTTTAATATTTCAACTAAATCTGCCATAACTCAGAAGTTAGTGGCCAAAGGCACATGAAACTTTAAAAACTCTTGAACACATTAGACAACATTCCATTAAATTCTCAATCCAATTTGCAGAAAAAATATGGATTTTATATCAAGCTTTTGAATGGCTCATTTTAAGACCTGCCATAAAAAAAAAATAAACTTGAAAGATGGGTAATTTGGGGGAATGTGGTCCTAAAAAATGAAACCTGTTCTTAATGGCCCATCAAGGTTGAATTTGACCTTTACAATGTTTCTAAAATATAGATTGATATCTCCTTTACTAAATTCTAGCAAGGCACAAGCAAAAAACCTCATGGATATTGCACCTTTGGATCCATTCCAAGTTGGTCCCAAGAGACCATATTACCCCTATTGTTGGGGGAATATGGCCACTTCTCAAGAAACAATGCAAGGTTTTTGAGGTACAGGTGAAATATTGCTGGGACATGCTGAGTACCTTGAAACATTATAGAGGAGGTTCAACAGTTGAAAAAGAAACCCATTTACCTGCATTGAGGACAAGCAATGAAGTTGACTAAATGGAATACATGTCGTAGCGGAGTTCGAACTTGATTCTTCAGATATGGATACGTACGCCCTACCGACAATGGTAATCCTACGGTTCCAGACACATTTGACGATTCTATGGGACTCAATGGAGAACTTACGCAGTATTGCCCGTGGAAATCCTTCACCAGGTGGAGGACGTTCCTCCATAATCCCCTCACCCTGCGCGGTTGGGTATAACAAGATGGAATCGGGCTGCAGATGGATTTGCCGGTGGACTGAAGTGCTCCCCGCCGTATCTTAATAACGATAATGATAATAGTGACATGAGGGGGGGGAGTTCACAAATACATAACCACAACTTTTCTGAAGGATCGCTGCGGCTGCAGCGCCCAATGGGGATTGGGAAAGCGAATTTATATCCTCACCAGACGAGATGCCCGTAGCCCATGGTGCCTCCGTTGCGGTAGGTCCCCTGCGACGTGAGAGACACATGGATGCATTTTCCCATGGTACGAGTGGAATCGCGGACGAGACTCCCGAAAAGGACACTTACATGGTACGATCTTAATAAGGGCCGGGGATGTGGTCTCCCCTGTTGAGGGGGGGTAGTGTGTTACTTCCACGACCGCCCACAGTGAGGCCGCTATGGCGGACGAACCGCCATGTGGTGTCGTACCAACTTCTCCGGCACCGGAAGCTATCAGCGATTTTGGATCTGACGAATATACGCCTTTTCTTCGTCACTCTTCAGATATTGACAAATTCAATATTATCGGACACGGAAGCCTCCTTACCAGTTTCTTTCTTGACAAAGGTGCAGGGTGGCGTCACCTCTATAACCTGGGGCCCGATACAAGTCGGTGTCGTCTCGGCCATATGTATGTTACCATATGTACAAAATGCTTGAAAATGTAGAAGCTATAAAACAGAATAGTTCTGGAATGGAAAGGTTCCCATTATGACTCAAGAAATAGGAACACCTTCCGCAGTATATCAAATTTGAAACTGGGAAGTAAACTTTCCTTCCTTCTTGATGCTCTCTCTTGACTAATATTCCTGCCATGAAGCTTGAAGACAGCCCACTACAAATACCTGTGATGATTGAAGGCCTCTTGTGGATGATGAGTCTTCAGTAATGAGATGATTACTTTGAAAGTTCATTTCTTCACACAATTCAATTCTCAATCCAAATGAAATAATAATCAAATAATACAAAGACTCACATTCCTAATGAGCATTACACCTTGAACCTTCTGATGCTTCATTAAAAAGATCACCCATATACACAATCCAGGGGATGATTCTAACTGTACAGCATGTTTGCCTATGCCCAGAGCCAGTTCGTCTTGTCATGATGTCAACGGGCTTCCATGGATTTCTCCTCTTGTATAGAGAATACAAATTACTCAAAAGAATTTCACCTTCAAAGACATGATGAGATGCTGATATCCAGTAGATTTCAGTAGGCCTGACACCATTAATAATGAATAAGGTCCTATGTGGAACCTTCAAGTCTCCATCTCTGCCAAAAAGTTTACAAAAATAAAAAATAAAAAATAGGACACTGAATCACATCGTTTTACTAACCTTCCTTTCGTCATGACTACATGCTATATGTAGTTCAGCCATAGCCTCTTTTGAAGCTTCAGGGCATGATGCATACATGACCTAGAAACATACAGCAACATTATGATACTATCAAGACCAAAGAAACTATCCATCCGTTAGTAAATACGTGAAATATGGATTTTGAAATGGTTTGGAAATATGGTTTGGAAACCCACAAAATGTACAGTCTGTAAAGATCAATCATTTATGTATGTAGGAGATTGAAAACATTTTAGAATGAAACCATAACTTGCTTTCTGGAAGAGACGCATAAGATGTTGATGATCTTGAAGTGGCACCTTGTTTCCTGAAGCCCAGAGCTATCACCATATCACCTGTGGAACGTGAAAAAGGCAAAGGAGCTGTTGAGATTCGGGCCATACTTGTGCAAGGGCCATTTTTTCTGCTGTTGAATCATTGGTCATGAAGACCCCTGGTGATGGCTTTCCCCCTAATGCATAGGGGAAAGTTTCTTTCATCAGTGAAAACGAGTGAAAATATCTGCAAAAAAAATCAGAATTCACATTCTTAGTGGCACCAGGTGCTATTGAAATCTTTTCTTTGAGAAGCTTTTCTGTCTGAACATGTGCAAAAAAATGGATTTTGACATGCCAAATGCAGCTAAAAAAAAATACTTGGGAAATATTCTAGAAACTAATTGGGCTCTCTGCATTATCTACCTTTGCATTGTTTGGCCTTTATGCAGAACTGCAATTGGAACAGCCCCCCTTTGGTTGCAATCAACAGCAGAGTAATAGTTGTGTGCATAGCATCACAACTGCTGCTGCTACCAACAAATATGATTTCAGATGCTTCAAGGAGTTTCTGTGCTTGCTGCATAATTGGGGATACCAAAAGGACTGCATAAGGGCTGGAAGTGCTTGATAGGTTGTCTGCATTAAGCTTGTAAGCTTGGGTAGGGGTCATGCCATAACCAAAGTACACATTGTAAGCATCCTTTGCTTCCTGTGAGGGGTGCAGACATCCGTGTGCCTAGGCATTCTGAGTGTGGTGGTTGTGGATATGTTCAATATGAACCACTGCAGGCAGGGGAGGGTCTTGTCTCAAGTAATGATCTTTTTTTTTATATCCCTTGTTGATGAACTTCACACATACTTTTATTGTGGCCATGCATCATAAATTCAACTTTCCATTTGGAATTTTCATGTGTGAAGCGTAATGGCACTTCATTTTTACTGGGAAGGCTTTCATAGATAGTCAGGCTGCCTGGAGTAGCATGAAAAACTAATCAGATGGATTAAGAGCAATCCACTGATTCTGTTCTTACTTAGTGCATTTTTTGCTTAAAAGCAATACAAGAATAATGTCCTAATAGACATAAAGAACAGCTCAAGTGGCCATGGATTGGCAATTTCCCTTGAAATTCAACTGACATGGCTTAACTGCTATGGACAATTCAATACCCATTTTGCTTTAGTATTTTGAAAAATTAAAGCTGATAGAAACCTAGCCAAAATAATTAAATTTTAACTGCATCTTGAATTTACTTAATAATCATATATTGCTATTCTCGTGTCCATTATTAACTATCCCCTCATCTTCAGCAATGAATGTTTTATTCTTGCTCGATGAGAATATGTGTACAACATTAATGTTTTAAGAGAGTTGCATTTACATTTCATATTTAGTTTTATTCTAGATATTATTTATTATAGTTTAGGCCTCGTGCATTATTCAAGATTGGGTTGTCCCATGGGATTTCATGGGATATTTTTCAATGCAATCTTCCATATGATGACAGCTTATATAGGACCAGCTCATCAGCATGATGGCAGCAGAATTAAATGCTAAAATCTTTGAGCAATTGCCTTTCACAAATGTGGTGACATCACACCATGCCTGTGAGGAAACAACCTTTTCTGGGGAGTTTTTTACATCTGAAGTTAGATCTTCTTTTTCTACAATGAAAGAAGCAAAGGATTTCGGGTCTGCTTTTGGCAACGCCACAAGAACTTCCTGGAATGCCCAAAGCACAACCCCTAAAATGACTAGGTGAGTTTTCTCCTCTGTCTGTAGTATGAGCCAAATGCCATAAAAACTTAGCCCAAATTGAAAACCATACAAGAGTGCTTGCATTTTAAATTACTGGTGAAGTAAAATTAGGGAAGAGCAAGAACTCTCCCACGTTGATTTTGGCCAGTTTTACAAGGATTCAGACCTTTCTTTATTGCCAGAATACTTCAGAAATATACAAAATGAATGTGATCTCTATACAGGAAAGCCTTCACATTAACTATGAAGTGTCATCACAATTCCCACATGAAGAGTCTCAAGGGGAAAAAGAATCTTGGATGCATGGCTACAATAATAATATATGTGAAGCTCATCAACAAGGGATATAAAAAAAAAGATCCTTACTTGAGACAAGACCCTCCCCTGCCTGCAGTGGTTCATATAGAACATATCCACAACCACCATATTGAGAATGCACTTGGATGTCTGCGCCCCTCACAGGAAGCAAAGGATGCTTACAATGGGTACTTTGGTGATGGCATGACCCCTTACCAAGCTTACAAGTTTCACTCCCTATCAAGCACTTCTAGCAAATCAGCAATGGTTGACTTGGCTGACAGCAGCAAGCATCCAAAAAAACAATCGGTTTACTACCTCCATGGACATTTTAGGGCTCAAAATTTTGGCACTCAAGCTATAGAAGATCAGCTGATTCTCATAAAGGAAAAGGCTCTCAAGTATGCCAGAGAAACAGGTTGGTTCACAATTGTTTGTAATTTGCACCAGGTGTATGATTGCCATGATTAGATAGTGGATATTCCCATCATGCTAAAGAGCTTCCTCCTCTATACTTTCAGGTGGAACGATTTCTGTAAAAGAAACCAGCCCTTATGCAGTCATTGTGGCATCCCCAATTATGCAGCGAGCACAGAAACTCCTTGAAGCGTCTGAAATTATATTTGTTGATAGCAGCAGCAGTTGTGATGCTATGCACACAACTATTACTCTGCTGTTGACTGCAACCAAAGGGGGGGCTGTTCCAATTGCAGTTCTTCTGCATGAAGGCCAAACAATGCAAAGGTAGATAATGCAGAGCCCCCAATTAGTTTCCAGAATATTTCCCAAGCTGTTTATATTGACATGATAAAGTGCTGAAAACAATTATCTTTCTCATCTGCCATTGCCTGGATATGCACCATGCATGTATTTTATATTCCAATAAATGTAGCACAAAATCAGATTTAGCTGCATTTGGCATAAGCCAAAATCCATTTTTTGCACATGTTCTGACAGAAACGCTTCTCAAAGAAAAGATTTCAATAGCACCTGGTGCCACTAAGAATGTGAATTCTGATTTTTTCGCAGCTATCTTCACTCGTTTTCACTGATGAAAGAAACTTTCCCCTATGCATTAGGGGGAA